ACGGGAATCCTAATACAAAATAAGGACAACACCTAATCTGTTAAATCAGGCGGCGGGGATATGAATCATCTAGTACTTTTTTTTCATGGTTCTTAAAAAATTGATTTCCAAATATAACATGAGGCATAAGCGAAAAGATGAAAAGCATCAATTATATCACAGTGCAATCACTCTGATTAAAATACAGATCATGTGTGTTAGTGCAAGCTTAGCTTATAGCTTTGTCATGTAATTAAGCTTAGACTTTTAACTTAGCTTATAGCTTTGTCATGTAAGTAAAGCTTAGACTTTTAACTTAGCTTATAGCTTTGTCTTGTAAGTAAAGCTTAGACTTTTAACTTAGCTTATAGCTTTGTTATGTAAGTAAAGCTTAGACTTTTAACTTAGCTTATAGTTTTGTCATGTAAATAAAGCTTAGACTTTTAACTTAGCTTATAGCTTTGTCATGTAAGTAAAGCTTAGACTTTTAACTTAGCTTATAGCTTTGTCATGTAAGTAAAGCTTAGACTTTTAACCAGATTGCAATGGAATGAAACAAATTTTATTTCCAATCGTAAACATTTTCTGACAGAGAGGCTGCGCCATTCAAGTTGTTGTAACATTTTACCAACGCTTGAGGTGTTTCTGTATTTGCTTATTACAAAACGGGCAGTCCTCCTTTGAATTTTTTCAATGCTATCTATGTCTTGTTGTACATTTGGATCCCAAACAGTGCAAGCATACTCTAGTGATGGTCTTACTAGGGACGTGTATGCTTGCTCTTTAATGGATGTTGAGCTAATATTCAGGTTCCTCCTTAGAAAGCCTAGGGTGCTAATAGCTTTCTTGCATATATTGTTAATGTGTACATCCCATTTAAGGTTTGAGCTGATGGTTACCCCCAGATATTTTGCTATTGTTACATGTTCTAGAGAGTGATTGTGTAAATAGTTATCAAAGGTACCAGGATTATAATTTAGTACGCCATACGCGCGTTTCGTCTACATAAGACTCATCAGTGACGCTCATTGAAGTGCATTGAGGATCCAAAATTCCAAAAAAGTTGTGTCAAATACGGCTAAGGTAATGTGTAGTTAAATGTAATTGTTTTTTTTTAATTTCTGGTGACTGAAATAACATTGCACTTATCTGGGTGGAATGCCATTTTCCATGTAATTTCCCATGATGCCAATTTGTCAAGATCTTTTTGTAAATGTGGATGGATCAGAAATTGATTTTATTGCCAAATAAACTATGGTGTCATCTGTAAATAAACGCACTGTAGATGTTAGACCAGTTGGAATATCGTTTATGTAGTACAGGAAAAGATTTGGTCCAAGAACTGACTCCTGTGGAACCCCTGACTCGACTGTTACATACTCAGATTTCCCCCTCTAAAACTACTGCCTACTTGCGATTGCTAAAGAAATTTTGTATCCAGAAAAATGAATTCCCCTGTATCCCGTAATGGTGAAGTTTGTTAATGAGAAAATTTATCAAATGCTTTTGAGAAATCCATGACCAAAATATCTGTTTGTTTACCGTTTTCCATGTTAAGTGAGACATCATCTATAAATTCAAGTAGTTGTGTTTCACAGGATCGACCTCTGCGAACTCAATGCTGTAGGGGATATAAGATGTTGCCTTGAGATTATCTGCATGCATGTTTCATTATGTGTTTAACTATCAAGTGTTCTAAAAGTTTGCAACAAATACATGTGAGGGATATAGCGTATCCAGTTAAAAAAAAACAATTAACTGGTTAAATCAAAGTTTAATAATCAGTTGTGGTATTCATCCGTTTAGACCGTATGAAAGGAAAATTATGTTGTTCGAAAATTAACCCAGAACACATAAACATAGTTATATAAGTTTTGAAACCTGGCTGCCGTTGTTTTTGTACTGTAAATTCCTCAATCTAGACTACTGATTAGAGAACTCAGATCTTTTGTCCGATTTTAACGAATTATAAAATTCCTAAACATTTATTATTTGTAGAATATTCAGTCAGTTTCATTTAAATTTTTTTTTGTTACATTGATATTTTTAGATTCAACATAGAGCCTGTTTTCTAGCCAATAATTTGCATAAATCACAAACTAGGTGTCCCACAGTTTACTCCTCCATAAACCACACCATTATGGCATTCGAAGTAAAACATACAAATGGATAAAGGAATTTCTCACCAACAGAACCCAAGTAGTAGTTGTTGAAGGCTAAACATCTGACAAGGTGAATACAAAGTAGAATCTGGAGTACAACAAGGATCAGTATTAGGACCCAGTCTCTTTCTTTTTTACATTAACGACCTACCAGAAGGCCTACACTCCACAGTGAGACTGTTTGCGGACGATACTTTGGTATAATTGACCATTTCCTCAGACACCGACTGCCATAAACTCCAAGAAGACCTGGACAAACTGGCAAAATGGGAAAAACTTTGGAAAATTGAGTTCCATCCTGAAAAATGCAGCGTCCTCACGGTCACAATTAAAAGAAAAAGCCAATCAAGTGGGACTACAAACTCCACGGCCATACTCTGGAGCATGAAACATCAACTAAATACCTAGGCTGCACCATTGCAAATGATCTAGATTTGGGAGAACACATTAGCAACATCACAAGAAAAGCCACCCAAAGCCTTGGTTTTTTACATCGAAACCTCCACATTATTTCAAATCCATCAAAGAGCATGCCTATAAAATATCAGAAAGACCGCAAATGGAATACGCCACGACAGTATGGGACCCACACAAGCAAAACCACATAGTTAAAATTAAAAAGGTACAAAGACGAGCTGCAAGATATGTAACCAGCAGACATAGAAATAGATCAAGTGTCAGCAACATGATAACTGAATTAGGATGGAATTAATGCTTACAAACAAGACGAAAAGAAGGCTCGACTCATCATGTGTAACAAAATAACAAACGACCTTGTAGCCATACACAAGAGTAAATATCTGCAAAAACCAACAAGAAGCTCTAACTGGACAGGACACCATACTTACCTATTACAGCCAGCCACCAAAGACTGTAGGAAATGGTCCTTCTTCGTAAACACCGTCAAGGATTGGAACAATTAAAGAGGGTGGTAAAGGGGGGTGCTTGCACGGAAAAAACGTGAAATAAGACATAATTTCACGTTGAACGTGAAATAATTTCTGTCATGAACGTTGCACGAAAAATAAAGACTTTGATGTGAACCTTTTGTGACTTAGTCACTGTCTTCTTGTATATATAAACTTTCTGTTTTACTTGATATTCCCGATTTAGTATACACATTTCTAATATAAATGGTTTACGGCTTTTAAAAAAGTATATAACGATCTTCTTAACTTTTAAAATGTAAATATCCCGCAGACACGAAACGGTGTATTCTTGATCTATTTCATTGTCTTTCTTAACAAGAATAAACACGTTGTCATGTTATCCATGCCTACCACGACTCGTGGTTTAAAGTATCAGAAATAGAAAGTTTGAACTGACAGATGATGGAAAGTGCAAACACGTTAAAGCTCGTCACTGTTAAGATGTCATCCTATTTAAAGTCATTCTTTTCATTTTACCAAAAAATTCAAAGAATCGGCACTGAGGAAGCATGTATCTAGGAAATCTGAAAAGTGTTCACAAGTTAAAACATATCAGATTTGAACTTAATATGAAGTCATTATGTAAAGTTGTTTCTTAGAAAAATCTAACGGAAATATTTGTTGGATTGACGAACAGAAGCACAAGTTGATTGTAATATATCCCTAATCCTACAGCTTTCCCTAGTAATTCATACCATGCAGGTCTCATTAGTCCTTTTTATTTTTTTATGTTTTCTAACATAACAATCTTGAACTAGAGACATATATGGCAATACAACAATCCATCAACATATTCATACCAGAGGACTATAGTAGCATATGGTACAACGATTTTGAACTTATCGCAAACTGAATCAAATCGAAAGAATACGACAAAAATAAATATGTATGGCCCGTTACAAATTTGTCAAAAATGTCAGTGTGATGTAGTTACTTTTGCAATACAGTTTTTAAAAAGACCAATTTCTACCAAAAATGACAATTTGTCAAGTATATACGGTATTATGGTGTTGCCATGGTAACCAAACTTTTTTTTGTTGACTTTTTTTATGTTACTTGTACAAGAACTTATATGGTACAAGGAATTAATGTTCATGTCTACACACCACTGACTTTTTTTTAGTTATATTATGCATTGAAATAACCATATATATTTGATTTTTGCAGATTCAATCCAAGCCATTTCCATGGCAACAATGATATGTATTTTTTTATAAAATTATTTTTTTTCTTCAAATTTTCAAACACAGAGAATTGTTTCTTTACTCAAACACATGATATACACAGGTTTTTAGGAAAATCGAAAAAAAATACTTTCCATGAAATTCTCAATCCTTACTGTTAGCCTCTCTTGATACTTAATGAACAATAAGTTAGGCCAAACCAGTTCATATATCTTAGAAGCTCCAAAATCGATAAGGAACGACACCAAAGGCCTTCCCGCTTTATTAAAAAAAACAAAATTGAATCCATTTTCAACAGTTTCTTGACGATCCCTGCCAAGTGTTTGAATTTTATTTGAAAAATACCGAGCACGCAAAATAAGCATTTGAAAATCACGATGCACGTAAAATTAAATAAGCAGAACACGTTGAACGAGGCACCTGTCTTGCACGACTGAACGTCAAATAAAAAACCAAACACACGTTGAACGTGAAATAAAAAACGGCGATCACGTTGCACGAAAATAACTCTTACCACCCTCATTAAACTACCACCTGATATCGCCACAGCAAAATCTCTTGAGATATTCAAGTCTAAAGTGACCAAAACCTCAAACTAAATCAACAGAACAATTTGTTTCTAACCTGATTTTAATCATGCGCAACTTGCCAGAATATTCATCATGTTGAATGTGGGCAGTATATGGAAGACTAGTAATTCCGAGATATATTACACTTCCGTTCCGATACAGAATAATTTTGTTGATCTTCCGTGTCTTCCGGTCAAAACAATGGTTCGAGGAAATTTTAGAAGGAAAAGTTTAGACAGACAAGCTATTGTAAAAACATGTCCCATTTGTGAAAAACAGGTGGAATATCAAAATTCTTTAAATTTTTGAAAACACTTACATTTTCTACTTTTTTTTTCAACATCCAACAACGAACAAGCAGTCTAAAACCATAAATAATTGTGGGATACTTACAAATATAAAAATTGAAAAATTAATATGAAATTAGAAAAATAAATTTGTAATTAACTATCCTGATAAACCAAGCATGTGCCAGAAAGTAATCATCAACCAGTTGATATTTTTCAGTAAATAAAGAAAAAGAAGATACTAATCCTAATCTAATATTAAAAAAAAGAAGATGTGGTATGATTGCCAATGAGACAACTCTCCACAAGAGACCTAATGACACAGAAATTAACAGCTACAGGTCACTGTACGGCCTTCAACAATGAGCAAAGCCCATACCGCATAGTCAGCTATAAAAAGCCCCGAAATCATAAATGTAAAACAATTCAAACGAGAAGACTAATGGCCTCTACTACATGTATACTATATGTATATCACAGAAATTGGTCACTCACGATTTCGCATCGTACCTGTGACTTGTGGTGATGTCAGTTGTGATAGAATAACGTTGTTTTGTATGTAGAGCTGGATATAATCATTTTTTATCACACCTCCGGTAAATTAGTGACATAACTGGTTTAACGCTGTCACGTGGTGACCCCTTAAAGATCAGTAGGGGGTCAGTAGATTTCATATGGGTATCATGACATCACATCTTCTAATAATGGTGACTTCGTTGATTAATATGATTGTTTTTCATAGATTTTTATACATAACTTAGCAGGAAAAGACAAATTTCGATATACGGTTCACTACTGACCCCTATGGATCAAATGTAGGTTAGTAAAATCCATAGATTTGGCCTTCGACTTCTACCCCTATGAATTTTACTAACCCTCTGGATCCGTAGGTGGTCAGAAGCAAACCATATAACTTATAATAGTAGTCTCAGTGATAATCTTCTAATTGGGATAGACCAACTTCAAGTTCTTTTTGTGGAAGCAAGTGAACTCATACCATTGTAAACGGGTACCATGTCAACTTGTACCACTAAATTTGTATCATTGTCAACTTGTACACAAAATATACCACTGCAAGTCATACGAATTCAAACTCACATAATCCTCCACTTCAAAAGTGTCCAATATCCCATCCCGACTGTTTTATGAATTGGGGTGCAGTTCGTTTCGTAATCTGGTCATTTCGTACCTAGTCGATTCGTAACTAACTAGGAAGTTTTGTAACTGAGACGTTTTGTAACCTTGTAACAATATATCATGATATGAGTTGTAGGTTATGGAAGAAATGTTGAATAATTTAAATATTTCGATTAAAAACTATAAAAAGACTTATTGATATATATATAACAAAGGACAACATAGTGATGTATCTGAAAGAAAGAAAAAAATTGAGTAAGGTAATGTTCTAAAGGAAGACGATTTACAAAAGAAAAATTAACTCCACCAATGCCAGTCCCAAGCCCTAAAAAGGAGGAGGGTTATGCAATTGCATGTCAAAGTGAAAAAAAAAGTAGAAAATAATTATTTTTTTCAAGTTGTGTGTTATTTTTAATCCTCTACTTAATCACTTTCAAGACACCTAATTACTTATAATCACCTGTCAATAGCTGGCATAAAACCATTAAAGTTCAACACCTGGCGTAATCACCAATTAGCCAAGAATTAAATAATTTAAAGTTTAAAATTATTAGTATTTACAATATTGTTATTATTTGATGCACACTTTGATCATTTTTAAATAAAAAATATATTAAGTATGCAGAACCATCATAAATAAATGACTTTATTTATATTATTTCCTGTATTATATGAACAAAACACAAGAAATTTATTCTGGCTTCAATATATAGACATTTCTAAGAGATATACACTTCCAGAGACAAAACTAGTGAATTAATTTTATATATTGTCTAACTGTTTGATTAAGACAAAACTAATAGAGACACACTTTATAACCATATATAATTACACCAGGTACGAAACGTCTCAGTTACGAATAGACCTAGTTATGAATCGACCAGGTTACGAAAGACTAGCATTCATGAATTGTCTTTAAAAATATACATATAATCTTTGAGATGCATGTATCGAATTTGGCCGATATTAATTTATGGATTGACACAAGTTAATAACCACAGAATAAGTGTAATTACAGTGTTTTTATATATACATTGGTTATTTCTTCATGTATTTTGTTTTTCAAGCTTCCAATCTTAAATTAGTTTCAGGATACAGTTAATTGACTCACAATTGTTGATTTTCTACTGCAAGGGAATCTTTGACTAAAAAGTAGCCCTAGGATAACTTTTTCTGTTTACAATATCTTTTGAAACACACATTAAACTGGGAAGTTCTTATTGGTGAGATCTACAAAGGCTATGTTTGCTCTACATTAAAAATTAGAAAATATCATTGTTTGCATCTGGATTCTTCAATAAAATTATAAAGTTTTTATCTTGCATTGATGCTTCAATAAAATTATAAACTTTTATATATTTGAATGTGTTTGTATTGTAGATTCCTGTGGCATGTAAAACATGTGGTTGTGGTCATAAGTTCATAACTAAAAGCAGAGCAAACTCAACACCAAGTGTCAAAACTGAAGGTATCATATATAACTCAAGGAATACAAAATATACTTACACAAACAAATAAAAAAAAAACCAAAACAACGGAAATGTTTTGTCTTGCAATTGATTTTTTTAGGTTTGTAATGTGGGATAAACCAGTACATCTGAAATAAAACTTACCACTTCAACCATAATAGTTGTAGTCTGAGGGCTATTCCATTAAAATATATGTGGGAGGGTAGGAACGGACTTTCAAAATATCCCTACAACCAAGAACCATTATTAGATAATTTTGCATAATGGTAATAAATGTATACTAAAAAAAGACCCATGACCCACATTCAATAATTAGACTTCCCTTCCTACCCTCCCACATACATTTTAATGGAATAGCCCTCATTATACATTCAAAAGAAATATTTAGTAGGAACTTTCGAAGAAAAATAAAAAATTATAACAATATTATAAATAGATTAAGAACTTGGACGAGAAATCAGAAATAACATCAATATTGACAAAAAAATGCATCATGATATGAAAGAGATAAGTTCAAATATGATTTTTGTCGAGCATTCAACTTTTGTCGAAAAAGCGAGACATAGCGATCCTACATTCCGTCGTCATTGTTGTCGTCGTCGGTGGCGTCCACAAATATTCACTCTGTGGTTAAAGTTTTTGAAATTTTAATAACTTTCTTAAACTATCCTGGATTTCTACCAAACTTGGAAAGAAGATTGTTTATGATCATAAGATAGTATCCAGAAGTAAATTTTGTAAAAAAAAAATTCAATTTTTTCCGTATTTTACTTATAAATGGACTTAGTTTTTCTGCCAGTTAACATTACATTCACTCTGTGGTTAAAGTTTTTGAAATTTTAATAACTTTCTTAAACTATCCTGGATTTCTACCAAACTTGGAAAGAAGCTTGTTTATGATTAAAAGCTAGTATCTAGAAGGAAATTTTGTTAAAATTTTGTTCCATTTTTTTCAGTATTTTACTTATAAATGGACTTAGTTTTTCTTCCAGTTAACATTACATACAGTCTGCAGTTTAAGTTTTTAAAACATTTATTAGATTCATAAAACTATCCTGGATTTTTACCAAACTTGGACAGAAGCTACTTACAATCAAAAGATAGTATAGAGAGGAATATTTTTATTAATTTTTTTCCTCATTTTTGTTGAGCCTGCGATTAACAGCAAAAGAAGGCGAGACACTGGGTTCCATCTGTCTGTCCCTCTTCAGGTTAAAGTTTTTAGTCAAGTTTAGTTTTTGATGAAGTTAAAGTCCAATCAACTTGAAACTTAGTACACATGTTCTCTATGATATGATCTTTCTAATTTTTTGCCAAATTAGAGTTTTGACCCAAATTTCACAGTCCACTGAACATAGAAAATGATAGTGCGAGTGGTGCATCCGTGTACTATGGACACATTCTTGTTTGTACATGTAACTGCTTTACAGTAAGTTTATTTGTTTAATCAAAAATTAGAATTAATTGATAAAAGTGTTATGAACTAGGTACTTTTGTGTTGGCTCTGGTATAGATTCTTGATCAGCTGTATTGGCACTCAACTCTTTGAACCTCGGGGCCAATACAACTAATCTAGTATCTATCATATCTATACCAGGGTATATACAGAAACACTATATTTTAGCACCTGTATTCAGATGAAGATGGTAGTAGTGTAAAGATCAGAAGGACAGATCTTTCTGTATCTATATGTTACATGTACTTAGCAACAATTGTATAATATATTTATTCAGATGAAGATAGTAGTAGTGTAAAGATCAGAAGAACAGAGAGAACAAGAAGAGAAAGACCAGATTATTTCAATCCCCTTTTACTAGAAAATTCTGTTAAAAGACCTAGGAAGAAGGTAATGATTTTAAATGCATATAATTCCTGCTCTTTGTTGAGCCTCTGATCCTAGATTCTGGCATTGGCATCAGTGTTGTCAACATTTAGGTTCAGTCTGTGCTTAAAGTTTTTTTTAATGATCAATAACTTTGTCAAACCTTCATGGAATTTTAGGAAATTTTTGACAGAAGCTTGTTTATGACCAAAATACAGTATCCAGAGCAAAATTTCGTTAATATTCATTTTCATTTTCCCGTATTTTACTGATAAATGGACTTTTTTTGACAGTTAACATTCAGATATAGTCTGAGGTTAAAGGTTTTTCAGTCATTTATATAACTTTGTCAAATCTACATAGAATTTTAGGAAATTTGGACAGAAGCTTGTATATGATCAAAAGACAATATCAAAAGCAAAATTTTGAAAATATTGATTTTTCATTTTTCCGTATTTTACTGATAAATGGACTTAGTTTTTTTTTACAGTTAACAAGTAGACAAGTAGTCTCGAGGTTAAAGTTATTCAGTCATCAATAACTTTGTCAAACCTGCATAGAAATTTTGGAAATTAGGACAGTACCTTAGTTATGACCAGAATACAGTATTCAGTGCAAAATTTTGAAAATATATTAATTTTATTTTTTCGTATTTAACTGATAAATGGACTTAGTTTTTTTTCAATATTAAACAAGTAGATACAGCCTGGAGTTACAGTTTGTTTTACATCAATTACTTTGTCAAACGTTATAGAATTTTATTAAACTTTGGCAGAAGCTTTTTTATGATTAAGAGATAATGTCTGAAGAAAACTTTTGAAAATATATTTTTTTCATTTTCAGAATTTTTCTGATAGATGGACTTAGTTTTTTAGCTAACATTTACAGCCGTCCAGGATTAAATTTTTTTGACATGATACATTTGTAAGCCTTCATGGATTGTTATGAAACTTGGACAGAAGCTAATCTTCAAGACCAAGAATTAGCATTTAAGCGTTTGAATTTGGACTCACTTTTTAAGTCAACATTAAACTTTTTCACTGACAACAGCAATCATAGGCGAGACACAAGGTTCCGTGGAACCCCTTACAAATTTGTTCAGTAGTATTTTTATAAATACATTAATTTGAAAACAAACATGTTCATTTGGTTGCATAGGTTCTGGGAAGTGAATTGACCAAAATTATGGGCAGGAAATTTGGCACTGTCAGAAAATATTATGTTTGTTTTCAGAACAGAATTTTTGCCATGCAAAAGGTCACCTTCACACCCCTCAAAGATATATGGAAAAGTTTGTTTTGGCACATTTGCAACTTAAGCACAAAATTGAATGCCATGATTATAACATTACTACATATTTTTAAATGCCAAATAACAGAAACCAAACTCTTAGCATCAGTCTAATTATCAGACATGAGCATCATTTTGAATTATACCAACAGGTTCTTGTATAAAAAATAAGATGTGGTATGATTGCCAATGAGACCACCAGATACCAAATGACATAGAAGGTAACAACTATAGGTCACTGTCTGGCCTTCAACAATGAACAACTTGTAGACTATTACAGAAATATGACAAACTATTAATTGCTATAATTACAGTCACAGCCTTCAACTACTACACCAGTGAAGACAGAAGAACAACCCCCTTCTGATGAACCCCCTAAAAAGAAACGTGGACGACCCAAAGGTGCCCCAAATAAACCAAGAAGTCAATTATTAGATACAAATAAATTGATAAAAGAAGAATCAGAAGATGAAGAGGATAAAATTGAAAATGAAGAAGGTAAGATAAATGAAAGTCAAACTTGGTAATGTCAAAAACTAAGGTCAGTTCCAGTAGCATTCTTGTTGTTCAGTGTATTTTTAACTCTGATGAGTTGAACCTTATTGATTCAATATCAAGATTAACTCCAGTAGATCACCTTAGGTCACAATGGCATGTTTAAAAATTGCCTCAGGTCACCAGGTCAAAGCAAACTATGCATTTCTAAACTGATCTGATTCTCGGTTTTTGATATTTTTAAAGGTCACAGGTTCATGTAAATGAGATGTCAGGTCGCCTGCCAAACCTTTCAACATTGTTGGTCAAATTCGACCATGTTGAAGCCAAAAGTATACTTTGAAGTCTCCTCAAAGAAAAATAAACATAATTTAACCCTATTGTATAAAGAAAAGAAAATTTGAAATGAAAATAAAAAACAAAGTGCAAAATACTGAGTTAAATTTTCAAATAACGTTTATTTTGAACATAAAAATAAGTTTCCTCATTTAATACTATCTCAATTCATTTGTAAAACAATTAAAATTTTCTCCATCACATTTTTATTAAATGTATTCATTTTTTTTTTCATATTTACCATGCACATGGATTGGAATATAAAACATTTTTCAACATTATTGTGAAAGAAATAAAATCTTTCCCCAAAACCACTTGGTCTTTGCCAGTCTATTTAATTGTTTGCAAATTGAACTTTCCCATGGAATAAATACAATAGCTATTGTGGAGTTTATTCAATGGGAACTATAAATGTCTCCTTGAAAAGCCAATCATTCATTGCTTAATTTAGATGAACATATGTTTTACTTCTAGTGATGAAAATACATTTACAAATAGTTAATAATGACACAAAAAAGTCTTCGTTCATTTTTTTTTTATAAAAACAATAATGTCACATATGAATTCAATGCTAAAATCATATGCAAGTAAAAAAACAACTGCTATAACACTTATAGTTACAACTTGATGCTAAAGATTTTAGTTATTTCTATTTCATGACTTCTAAGTGGAGGTAACTCTTAATTCATTCAGTGAACACAAATGTGATTTTCTTCAATGTCTTGTGTTAAAACTGTTTGTTAGCTGGCAACAAAAGAAAACATATTCGTCAGTTTGAACTGATCAATTTTCAGATTAATTGTTGATTTGATCTCTGTGTTTAAGATTTATTAAAATATTTCATCATAAATATCTTTTGTATTTTTACACATGTTAAGCTGTTATAGTCTGTTTCCATTAAACCTTTGCCATTGCAAAATCTTACATACTAAACATAGAAACATTGCAAATATCTCATTGAAACAAATTATAAACTATATATTTAATTTCAGAAGAGGAGATAGATATGTATGCAGATATGCCACAGGAAAGATTAAAACAATTCAGCTTTATATTGGGTGATCTAAACAGAAAGTTTCTTGGTCAAGGGACACAACCAAGATGAAATCAATTATTATAGAGTTAGAAGAACCACTACCTGAAAAGACTGAGCTATTCATGCAGGACATGAAAATTAAGGATTGTAAAGATATTTACATGGTTTGGAAAGTTTTGCCTTAAAAATGCAGAAAAAATATGTTGTACATCAGTAGTTTTCCAAGAATATATAAAAATCCAATATGTAAATTTGTTTTGTTTTACTAATATTGACCACAAATTTTCCTTTGGTTATAGGTCTGTCATTACTTGTACATTCGTGGCTATATGTTAGTCCAATGGTAATCCATTATAAATCAACATTTAGAGGTACATTTTACAGCTTTATTAAAATAAGATTGCCAATGAGATAACTCTCCACCAGAGACCAAAAAGTTAGCAACTATAGGTCCTGTAGTCTTCAACTATGAGCAAAACATAGTAAGCTTTTAACGGCCACACACTTACAAATGTAGTCAATTCAAACAAGAAAACTAACAGCCTGATTTATGTACAAAATAATTCACAAAAAACAAAATGATATGCAGAAAAAATTGTAAGCACTTTGTGATTTAATGAAAATAAGTAAAATTAAAAACCAATTGTTCAAAGAACAATTGAAGGTCTTTCCTCATCAATTTTCTAAATAATTGATAGGAAGCTACTTCTGGTTTACTCAAAGTAATTAATAGCGTCAAAGTATAGATTTCTTCATACTGATTTAATAAATAAATGGTTTCTATATACTTTTGCCTGAAATAAGGGAGATAATTGCCAACTTCCGGTTTAGAAAATGTCACTTCCGGTCTCATATGATAGCTTTATTCACACTGATTCCCAAATATATAGTTTGTATATACTTATGCCTGAAATAAGGAAGATAATATGCTACTTCCGGTTTATAAAATGTCACTTCCAGTCTCAAAAGATAGTTAAACCTATGATCATTCAAAAAATATATGGTTCTAGGTACTTTTCCATGAAATAAGTGCAAAAAATACCACTTCCGGTTCACTCAAGGTCACTTCCGGTTGACATTTTTCAAGGTCATATGTCAACCAACAGTTTGCAAAAGACCCTATGGCTTTATCATACACCAAGTTGGAGTAATAATCAATTAACCTTAAATTGAATCATTTCAGGGACAATAACTCCTATTAGATGTCATTGGATTGTTTCAGATCAAATGTATCATATCTTAATCACAATTAGGCAAACATTTTGCACTTGTTCTTTAATTTGTATCTTTAAAAGTGACAGAGGAGATCAAATAACAAGGACAAGTCAAAATTTAGAATATGACCTTGACCTTTGACCTTGGCCTCAATTTCATTTAAATGAACCAAGGAACTCAAACCAATATACCTTAGGTCTCTATCACTTACCATTCATGCTATATATTTATTTCTCTAATTCTTCGTCAATTTATCCCTTTCTGCACCCATTGTATAAAAAAAATTAATCAACGTGTGGTTCGTTTGATCTCAGTTCTTCATTGGTTAAAATCCGATTATGACGTCGAATTTTCTTGCTTTCCTCTGAATTTCCTATTGTGACGGCATGAAAAAAGGCGACCATGCCTGATGACGTCACATAGAAAGAACACATCTTTTTGCAGATCATTCGAAAAGAAGGAATAAATTTGCCTGCGTATTGTTTGAAAATCATTAGAGAAACAGATTCCACCACCAAATCTTGTGTAATACGATATTTATCCACTCTCGACAGTTAAATTTTAAATATTTAAAACGCTCGGCGAGCCTCGCGTTTTAAATTTGAAAATTTAACTGTCTCGAGTGGATAAATATCGTATCACACTCGATGCAGTGGTAGAATCTATATATATCCCTTATGTCAAATACAGAAGGGGAAATAACTCTCATATGGAGTTTACGTATCGCTTCGGTCAAAATTGGACAAAACATCCTGAGGATATAACGAGTAATTTTGTAAAATAAATTTGTCGCTTTCTTTTACGGTTATGGAGGAGATGCAGTCACAAGGAAAACAGTGTTCTGGGAGATAACTCCTACAAAGAAAATTGTTCGGCTTAGAATGGGTGAAAATAAAAAGCGCATAAACTGTATGATATTATATAAGAAATATCTAAGCGACATCTTGCAAAACAAAAATTTTACGTGAGAACAAAATTAGGCGGAAGAAAAAAATAATAATAAATATAAATCAATTGTTAAACGGTCTTTCCCCTCCGAAACATGATTGGTTGGTTGGTTGGTTGGTTGGTTGGTCGATTGATTGATTGATTGATTGATTCATCGATTGAAAGTTTGCATGACACTCTCTCTATGCGAGGCATCGGACTTGACGTTCATATTCTGACGAGGCTGCGTATTTGTATATCCCGCACTCCCAAACGGACAGCTTCAGGATTTCCTAATAAATAAAAATCCTAATATCTTCTTTTTTTTCTAATTTTCTCTATTTACTACGAGAACTAATACTTCATGGTTTCTTTTATGTGGTGTGTGTACATTTTGTTTCAACTTGTAGGAAGAAAAAAATTGAGTAACATTTTGTCTTGGAAGTTTCACTTTCCATATTTGGATATGGATCTCGAATGTTTTATTCTAATTTTAGGTCCGCGCGCGTGATGATGTTTTGAAGTCACGTGACGCTCGAATATATATGTCTGGAGTTAGAATATTAATTTCTTTTCAGGGGAGACCGTTGAACAGAGCACATGTGTACTGATCGGACAAACATGACCACTATTGGTTTTATTATTTACAGGTCATTGATGACGGATCATGCATGCATCTTACGTTCACATGTTTACGGGAGCACAGTTTTGTATTTTAATGCATGATTAAAAAATTTGATTGTAGGATTTCAGCAATATTTAGGATTTTTCTACGTCATTGAATTTTATTTCTCAAACAAGCGGACCGCGTCTAACGGGAACATGAATTGGAGCCGATTTTTTGCAGGAATTACTTTCTATTTAAGAAGTTTGTACATCAGAAGGATTGCATTTTTACAGTAAAATGTACAGGACTGAACTTCAAGGCGAAATGGGATTCCTCAAAGTAGAAGAAAAAAAAAATGGGGGGGGGGGGGGGATGAGATGGAGGATGGTGGACCTTGGTTGATAAATTAAGATAAGATGCATGTATACATCATGATAGCTGCAAAGTTTGAGGCTATAATAAGTTCATTTTGTTCATTTTGCTATTTCAGTGGCATGGAACCCCTAAAACAATGACGCGTACCATTTTGACAAAAACTTTCCAGTTATATCATGTCGCGACTAACATTTTGGTCAAATTTTTTTTATACGGCTTACGGTTTACGTGTTACAAAAACATAACGACAAATTAATTTGGTAAAGGCAGATAACTCCTTTAAGATCTCACTGGATCGCTTCGATCCAAATTAGGCAAAAATTCCTGAGGATGTAACAAATAATTTAGAAAAAGAATTTTGTTGATATCTTTATTTGTTACGAAGGAGATGCAATAACAAGGAAAACAGTGTTCAGGGAGATAAGTCCTACAAAGAAAATTGTTCGGCTTAGAATGGGTGAAAATAAAAAGCGCATAAACTGTATGATACTATATAAGAATTATCTAAGCGACATCTTGCGAAACAAAAATTTTACGCGAGAACAAAATTAGGCGGAAGAAAAAAATAATAATAATAATAATAATAATAATAATCAGAACAAATACAATAGGTCTTTCCACAGAAAAGTGGAAAGACCTATTTAAAAACCAATTGTTCAGAGAACAATTGAAGGTCTTTCCACCCATTAAGATCTATTTTGATATAGAACTATTAAAATTTGGTTTAAAATATCATATCCAGCGTCAAATGATAGCTTATTGTACACTGATTCCAGAAATATATGGTTTCTATACATTTTTTTTCTAAATAAGGGAGATAAATTGTTACTTCTGGTTTGAACAATGTCACTTCTGGGTTTTTTTATAGTTTACTTGATACTGATTCCAAAAATATATGGTTTAATATACTTTTACATTAAATAAGTACAAAAAAATAGCTACTTCCGGTTTACACATGGTCACTTCCGGTTGGCTTTTCCATGGTCAAGTGGCTTGCAACGTAATGCAAAAAGTCCCATGGCTTTATCATGTATACATATGAGGTAAAAGCAAAGGTCAATATCTAGAACGTCAAATTTACCTATGACCTTCAGCTCAATTTCAAGATCATAAACCAAGGGCTTCAAATCAAAAGACCATAGGTCTAAATTATATATGGTTAATGAGTTATATCACTATATGCCTAATTTTTAATATAAGAGGGGAGAAAACTCCAATTTAATGTTAGCGTACCCTTTCAACCAAAATTTATGTGTTACGACATGTCGCAACTTACAATTTAGTAAAAATATGTTGTCGATATCTTATACGGTTTTTGAAAAGAATTGAAAATAAGCCAAAATCTTAATTTAAAATATGACCTTGACCTCTGACCTTGACCTTATTTTCTTTTTTTTGGACCAAGGACCTCAAATCAAAAGATCCTAGGTCTCTATCACTTATGGTTTACAAGATAGAAATGCATATCACTTATATCAAATGCATAAGGGGAAATAACTCTCATATGGAGTGTTCGTATGGCTTCGGTTAAAATAGGACAAATCATGCGAAGGATATAAGGAGCAATTTTATGAAATAAATTTGTCGCTTTTTTTTGCCGTTACGGAGTAGATGTAGTCACAAGGAAAACAGTGTTTGGGGATATAACTCTTACAAAGAAAATTGTTCGGCATAGAATGGGTGAAAATAAAAAGCGCATAAACTGTATGATACTATATAAGAAATATCTTAGCGACATATTGCGAAACAAAAATGTTACGCAAGAATAAAATTTGGCGGAAGAAAATAATAATAATTAAAAACCAATTGTTCAGAGAACAATTGAAGGTCTTTCCACCCATAAAGATCAATTTTGATATAGAACTATGAAAATTCAGTTTGAAATATCATATCCAGCGTCAAATGATAGCTTATTGTACACTGATTCCAAAAATATATGGTTTCTATACATTTTTTTCTAAATAAGGGAGATAAATTGTTACTTCCGGTTTGAAAAATGTTACTTCCGGTTTTATTTGATAGTTTACTTGATACTGATTCCAAAAATATATGGTTCAATATACTTTTACATTAAATAAGTACAAAAAATAGCTACTTCCGGTTTACACCAGGTCACTTCCGGTTGGC